ATATATATATATATATATATATATATATATATATATATATATATATATATATATATATATATATATATATATATATATATATAAATTAAAAATGTTCGTGAAATGAAATGGAAACATTTCTTATCCATAAAAATAAATAACGGCCGCAAAAAATTGAATTTTTTACCTTTCATTTTTTGTAAATGATAACATTTTCAAGAAAAAATTTAAATGGATAATTTAAAATATAATTTTTTGAAAAATGATTTTTTTAAAAAAAATGTTTACTTAATTTCTAAAAATTTAAATTTTTATATTTACAATATAATATTCAATTAATGATTTACTATAATAATAATAAATTAATTAATGGAGACAGAGATAGAAATAATGCACAGTTTAAACCTTATTTAAGATAATGCACGACTAATAAATATTTGTTATTTTTTTCGTAACCAAATAAAAATAATAATAATAACATGCCTTTTACAAAAATAAAATTTTTTAAAATTTAAAAATTCAATAATATATATATTTTTTATATGTTCGTTTACCTTTGACTTTTATTAATGAACATTAATTTTGTATTAAAATAATTTAAAAACAACTCATATTTTTCATTGAATGGTGGGATATTTGCACTTATTATTATTTTTATAATTAAAATAAACAAATTTAATTAGATAATAAAGATAGTCAAATATTCCATGCAAACTTTTAAGCTCTGTCACAAAATAAAATAATATATACTAAACAATTATAATTGAATTAGAAATTAATTAATAATTTCCATAACTTCTCCCTTAAAATAATTAAATAAATATAAATTAATTAAAATATTAACAAAAAAAATTAAAGGATTGAGATAAGGTAGATAGTAGTTAATTAATTAAATGCAATTTATGACTAATTAATATAAACCAATAGTTAATTAAGTTTAGTATAAGATAATTTTTTTTAATGACAGTATTGAAAAACCAAACATAACGTAGGGTTGGTCGGGTTGTAATTCTATTTTTGGGTCGGTCAGGACAAAACAACGGTCAACCCACGAAAATTGACCCGAATTTTTGGTTTGTCAAAAATTCAACTCATCCAAAATCGAAAAGAAATCTAACTCGACCCAATTTTATAAGTTAGAAATACTATCTCCATTGGAATGAGGCGTTTTGTGAACCCCAAGGCAAAGGCATGAGAGCTTAGACTCAAAGTGGACAATATCATACCATTGTGGAGAGTCGTGATTCCTAACATGGTATCAGAGTCATGCCCTAAACTTAGCAATGTCAATAGAATCCTCAAATATCGAACAAAGAATTGTGAGTCTCGAAGGTGTAGTCAAAAGTGATTGAAGTGTGGAACAAAATGGTGTACTTTGTCCCCTTGTTCGAGGGCTCCAGAAAAAGAAGTTGAGCCTCGATTAAGGAGAGACTATTCGAGAGCTTCATAAGCCTCAAATAAGGGGAGTCTCGATTAAGGAATACCATCTCCAATACCATCTCCATTGTAATGAGGCCGTTTGGGAAAGCCCAAAACAAAGTTACGAGAGCTTATACTCAAAGTGGACAATATCATACCATTGTGAAGAGTCGAGATTCTTATCATTTTATTATAATCCAAAATTTTATATAATTTGGGTTGAATATTTCTAGTTAGTCGGGTTCTCGAATGATATAATTATGAATAACTGCTTATTAAACTAACTAGTTTATGAAATAAATTAATATATAAAGATTAAAAAAAGAAAGAAAAAAAAAAAGATTTGTTTAGAGCAACACCTCATCCATGGTTTTAATCTTATCCACAAGACAATAATTTCAATCCAAAACAAATTTTAAAACGGAAATACAACTTGCCTGGAAAAAGAAAAATTAAAAAAAGAACAAAAAAAAGCAATGAACTGAAAACGCGCTAAAACTAGCGCGTGTACAACACGCTCTCCTAATTATTCAACAATTGGCGCGAGTGTATTACACGGCCGTTCAATAATCAGTACGTAACAGAATCAGTTTCTCTTTCTTCGTGTTCTTGCAAAATGAATCGCACTGTACTGGATGCGACCTCGCTACCTCCATCCATGTCAGTCGGCTCGAACAAGAAGATAGATAAATTCAGATTTTAGAGAGAGAGAACGAAAATTTTAATCTCTCTGTCTCTCTCTCTGTCTAAAATGATTTATTAGTTATCAGGGAGTTCTTGAATTCTCGTCCTCTTTGGATATTTCTTTCTCTGAATTCTTGGCTGATGTAGTTTTCAGGGGTTTTGAAGTGGTGATTACCTTGAAAAATCGATTTGGATGTTCGAGATTGTTCGATTTTGATTAGGTATTTGAAATAAATGAGTTTGGGTTTGGTTTTGTTCCTCCCCTTGAATCTCGTGGTGAAGATCTTCAGATTCAGGTTTAAATTTAAGTTCTAAAGTCGAATTGAAGTTCTAGGTGCTGTGGATTCTTCTTTCAAAATCCAGGGTTTAATCGGATGGGTGCTAATTTATCGGATTGCAGTGGAAGAAATTGTCCGCTATTCATGTCTGGACTCGAAGATATGCCGGAAAATTGCGTGGCTCTGGTTCTGATGCATATGGACCCGCCGGAGATTTGCAAATTAGCCGGAGTGAACCGACTTTTCCGCGACGCTGCTTCGGCGGATTTCGTATGGGAATCGAAGTTGCCGTCTAACTATCAGTTTCTGATCGACAAAGCACTGGAGTTCGAGGAGAAAGATAAAGCTATGATGAATTTGAGGAAGAAAGATGTTTATTCTAGGCTTTGTAAACGAAATCCCTTAAATGGCGTCTCGAAGGTTCGTCTCTCTGTTCTTTTTTCTCTATTTAGAATCGTTGAATTTTGGATTATGAACTGTCGATTGATTTAGGGTTTTGAATTGTTGAAGGAGTTTTGGCTCGACAAGAGAACTGGAGGCTTATCAATGGCGATTTCTTGGAAGGCATTGACGATTACTGGAATTGGTGATAGGAGATATTGGAATCATATCTCAACTGATGAATCTAGGTGAGATGATTTAAGAACTTCTGAAGAACTTTGATTTTGCATTGTTGTTTATCAATTTACTCTGTTTATCATTGGGATTTGATGATTTTGGTTAGCTTTTATTTGATGATTTTGAGAGTAAAAGAGTTGTTTGAATCATTCTTGGTTAGGAACTGAGCTTCGAAATCGTTCTTGGTTAGATTACGAAGTTTATCCTATGAACTCTTGGGCTCGTGCCAACCTCGAAAATATGGTCTCTAGTGGAATAGAACATACGATGTCGAGTCTCTGTTTCTGGTTTAATTGTAACACCTTGCTCCCATTTTGACTGTATGTGATCTAGTATATTTGAACCCGAGGAAAAAAATGGGATCAGTTCTTATGGATGGGTTGTGAACTTCTTTTCTTGGAGAAGAAGCAATGACGAAATTTGGGGAATAAGCATAGATACTTTTAGATATGATCTTGAAAGTTTAGAGACTGAATTTGTCGTTCACTGTGTTTTCACAATGACCTGTTTTTTAGAACGACTGAAGTTCGAAGTTCAAGTTTTGAAGAAGTTGGGCCTGTGAACTAGTATATCTAGACCCGATGAATAAAATGGGATCACTTCTTATGCGTGAACTTTTTTTGGAGAAGAAGCAATGACGATATTTGGGATTAGCATAGATACTTTTAGAGACGAACTTGAAAGTTTAGAGACTGAATTTGTGATTTACGTTCTTTCTTTGAGGTACTCATGCCATTGGAATTGCTTTCTTTGTTTATTGTGTTTTCACAATGACCTGTGTTTTTCGAACGATTGAAGTTCGAAGTTCGGCTTTTGAAGAACTGTTGAACTTGGGCTTGTGAACAATGATTTCAAGTGTAGCTGTGGTGAGGAAACGATCGAAGTAACCTCGACCTTTAGATTCACACACAGTAATTTCAAAACCTTTACAATGGGTCGTGTACTTCTTTTCTTGGAGAAGAAGCAATAACCATATTTGGGGAATAAGCATAGATACTTGAGACGAACTTGAAAGTTTCGAGACTGAATTTGTGGTTTGCGTTCTTTCTTTGAGGCGCTCGTGTCATTGGAATTGCTTTCTTTGTTTATTGTGTTTTCACAATGACCTGTTTTTTTAGAACGATTGAAGTTCGAAGTTCGACTTTCGAAGAACTGTCGAACTTGGGCTTGTGAACAATGATTTCAAGTGTAGCTGTGGTGAGGAAACGATCGAAGTAACCTCGACTTTCAGATTCACACACAGTAATTTCAAAACCTTTACGAGTTACCCAATCACATAGCGCTGTAAAACAACCTAACATACAGTATAATATCTGTATGAACTAACATTGATTCGGTTCGGTTTGGAAACAACATTGGAGCAAAAACGAGTGTTTCTTTTCTTTTATTAGATTCGGGTGTGTTCAATCTGCTGGCTGTCTTCGTTTTAGATGTGATATTTCTTGTTTCCTGTTCGTAAATCCAGATTTCAGTCGATAGCTTATCTTCAACAAACATGGTGGTTCGAGGTGAAGGGAGAGCTGAAGTTCCAGTTCCCAGAAGGAAGATATGCAGTGTTCTTCCGGCTTCATCTCGGCAAACCGTCGAAGAGACTCGGTCGTCGGATCTGCCTGATGGATCAAGTCCATGGCTGGGACGTAAAGCCAGTGAGGTTTCAGCTGACGACATCCGATAATCAGCACACCGAGTCACGGTGCTTCTTGGGCAGTCCTGGGAACTGGGTGAACTACCATGTGGGAGATTTCACCATTGAAAGTGGCAGCAGCAGCAGCAACATGATGAAGCTCAAATTCGCATTGACTCAGATTGATTGCACTCACACCAAAGGAGGCCTCTGCCTAGACTCTGTGCTCATACAGCCTAAAGATTTTGTAGCTAAAAACAACAGGTAAAATATCGAACCTCTTGCGGCCTTTTAGACGACACGGTTTATCTGAAAGAGTGCCTTTCTTTACTCGACAAACTCGGGATGGCTTGGAAGCCTGATGGGGCTCTCGAGACCAGCACTCCAAGTCTCCGAGCCTCCTTCGAGTCGATTGGTGAATCGGGAGGTCGGTCACTCACTTGTCGTAGCAATGCTTGGTTTTTCCAATTTTCAGACATGTTTTGTCTGAAAGTTTTGGTGTCATTTTATGTTTTTGAAACCTCCAAATGAACCAAATAGGGATTGAAATGTGCAAAAAAAAAAAAAAAAAAAAAAAAAA